AAAAAAAAAAAAAAATGGTCAAGAAATGCTCATGAAACCAGAAAAACTTTCTGCAGCAGCTGAGCCCTTTGCCTTCTCATACCCTTGGAGGAATCAGCCTTGGTTTGGAAGAGCTAACTCAACAGCTCACCATGAAGAAAGACTATAATTGTCCCCTTCAATAAGAATTAGTCATGTCTGTTGTCAGTTATTCTATCAGGAGATCCTCACTCCATTTTTAAATCAACAACCCATGATCACCAGTTCTTGACCCAGAAATAGCCTTTATAAACAGTTTTGTGTCAGAAATAATTAGTGTATACAAGTATATATATGCAGGCTTACTCTTTGAACTCTCACTATTTAAGAATTGCTATCGACCCTCAGGATCGCTGGTATACAACTGTCAGATACACACTGAACTTCTAACCACAAGGTTGGCAACCTACCAGCAACTCTTTGAGAACCTTATCCAGGATCACTATGGATTGGAACCAACTCAACAGCACTTAACAACAACAATCCACTATCAAGAACTGAACAGATACAGATAAATTGTCTGGTGAATCCCTCATGATCTTGCTTTGTGAAATCCAGGAACCAGATAGATTCAGACAAGCTGTTATTCCTCACTATCTGAACTCTCACATACCTTTTTAAAACTCAAACCAGGGTTTTGAACTGGTTCTTCCCAGTTCACTCATAGCCATGGAAGCAGAATCTGAACAGACTCAAATTCTGAAAATTTGTGTGAAACACAACAATAACCAGAATGGGAAAAAATCACAGGTACAAAGCCCTGCTAACAACTTAACTTCCATCTTAGAAAACAAGAGTAGGATACTCATTCCATAGCAGCCAAATCTCTTGCCTGTCAAATTATGAGCTGAGTTAGAATCATCAGTGCTCTGGATAAAACAACCTACTCCACCATTTTGAATGTGTGTTGCTCTCTACAGCCATGGCAATAATCCAATCTCATGCTCACTACACTGCTTCTGAGTCTTCCATTCCAGAGTTTCAACCTGTAATTTTTCTCATTCAGTTATCATTCCAGATCACTCAAATATTTAAAATGTAGGTCTGCTTTGGTTCACTGCACCACCTATAATTAAACTGGTTTGAACTGATTCAAAGTCCTGATTCAAACTAAGAAAACAAAATCAGGTTGGACAGTGAAAGATACATGCATAAGTCTTAATGTATGTGTACACATACACACGTGCATGCATGTGCAAAAACGTATCATTATGATATACATTGATAGTTTTTACATTTGCATAATACACTATTTATAAATAGGATCATTCTGTTTAAACTTTAAAATTTGCTTTTGTTTCTATGATACTAGTATATCTTGCCCTAATATAGAACACCAGTACTAGAATAGTATATCTAGTATACCTTGCTTGCTGAAAGTGAAGAGGACTTAAAATACTTATTGTCATCCAAGACTACAACTTTGGGTATATAGTTGCACCTCAATGTAGAGAAGACAAAAGTCCTTACTACTGGACAAATAAACAAGACTGAAATTGTCAAAGACTTCATTTTGCTAAGATCAACCATCAACACTCAAGGAAGCAGCCAGCAGTGAGAAAATTAAATAACGTATTGCATTAGGTAAAACTGCTGCACAAGATCGCTTTAAAGTGCTCAAGAACAGATATCAGTTTGAAGACTAAGGTGTATCTAATCCAAGACATGATATTTTCAATGACCTCACATGCATGCAAACGCTGGACACTGAATATGGAAGACCATAGAAGAATTGATGCATCTGAGATATGGTGCTGGAGGAGAGTATTAAAAGTATCATGAGGACTGTCAAAAGAACAAACAGACCTGTACTGGAAGAAGTACTGTCAGAGCGCTCCTTGGAAGCCATGGTGGCCAGACTGTCTCTCATACTTAGAACATACTGTCAGAAGGGGCCAGTCCCTGGAGAAGGATATCATGTTTGGTAAAGTGGAGGGTCGGAGAAAAGGAGGAAAACTCCCATCTAGATGGATTGGCACAGTGGCAGCAGCAATGGGCTCAAATGTAGCAGTGACTATGAGGCTGGCACAGGACCGTACAGTGTTTCATTCTGTTGTGCTAAGGGTCGGTACTGACTTGATAACACCTAACAACAACAAAAACTAGTATATCTTTAACATTGTTCCACATCAGTGAAAAAAAAAGGAGTCCTGGTGTGGCCCTGTGGAATAAACATTAGACTGCTAACTGCAAATTCGGTGGTTCAAACCTACCACTTGCTCCCTGAAAACCCTACACAGGGTCTCTATGTGTTGGAACTTAACATCAACGACAGTTGGTGAACAGAGAGTCTGTTTTCAGTTTCTTGTCACTCTAACCAGTGCTGTGATAACCATGTTATGTATCTTTGAAAATCTATGCAAGAACATCCCTAGAAAATATTTCTAAAAATGGAATGGCTAGATCAAATTGTATGTGAATGCTTTATTTTGACAGATACTGCCAATCTACTATCAAAAAATTTATGACACAATAAAAGCATAAGCAGCAAAAGACAAAAAAGATAAATAAAGTATTATGAATTGAGTTATGCCCCCAACAGATATAAATTCTAAATTCTGAACTCTACGCCTGTGGTTATAATTCCATCTGGAAATGTGTTGTCTTTGTTATGCTAGCTTTAGTATAGAGTGAATCTTGAGTCAATCTCTTTAGAGAGATAAAAGAAGTTGAATAAACAGGTGAGTAAAAGAGAGATGAGGAAAGATAGATGCCAAGATGCATAAAGATCTCGAAGGAATGAGGAAACAGAAGCTGAAGAGAGAAGAACCTTGCTCCAAAGTTGACACAAAGAGAAAGACTTCCCCAAGAACTCATCCTCTGAATTCAGACTTCCAGTCTCCTAAAAGCTGTGCAAGAATAAATGTCTGTTTGTTAAAGCGATTTACTTGTGGTATTTCCATTATAGTACCACTAAATAAGTCATCTGTCAGTTTGTCTTACTGTGGTGGCTTGTGTGTTGTTAATGCCGTGCTGGAAGATATGCCACTGATATTTTAAAGACCAGCAGGGTCACCCATGGTGGACAGGTTTCAGCAAAGATTCCAGACCAAACAGACTACAAAGAAGGAGAGACAGACTACTTTTGAATGGTTAGCCACTGAAAACCTTACGAATTGCAGTGGAACATTATTAGATATACTACCGGAAGATAAGCCCCCTATGAGTGGAAGGCACTCAAAATACAACTGGGGAAGAGCTGCCTCCTCAAAGTAGAGATGACTTTAATGACAGGAACGGAGAAAAGTTTTCAGGACCTTCATTTGCTGAGGGGGCACAACTAAAAATAGGAAGAACCAGCTGCATACATTCATTAATAATTGGAACATGGAATGTATGAAGTATGAATCCAGGAAAACTGGAAGTCATCAAAAATTCAATGGAATGCATAAATATTAATATCCTAGGAATCAGTGAGCTGAAATGGACTAGTATTGGCCATTTTGAATCAGACAACCTATAGTTTACTATGCATGGAACAATAAATTGAAGAGGAATGTTGTCGCATTCACCTTCAAAAAGAGCATTTCAATATGTATCTTGAAATACAGTGCTGTCTGTGATAGCATAATATCCATAAGCTGACAAGGAAGACCAGTTAGGACAACAATTATTCAAATTTACACACCAACCACTAAAATGATGAAGTAATTGAAGAATTCTACCAGCTTCACTGATAAAACATGCAATCAAGAGGTACTGATGAGTACTGGTGACTTGAATATGATGGAGTCCTGGTGTGGTATTGTAGGATAAAGCGCTTGATTGCAAGACTGGTTTGAGCCACAAGGTCAGTGATTCAAACTTACCAGTCGCTCTATAGACACCCTATACAGGGTCGCTATGCGTCGGAACAGACTTGACAGAACTAACAACAGAATGTGAAGGTTAGAAACAGAGGAAGGATCAGTAGTAGGAAAACAGCCTTGGTGATAGAAACAATGCTGGAAATTGCATGACAGGATTTTGCAAGACCAATGATTCATTCACTGAAAGCACTTTTTTAAAATAATATAAAAGGTGACTATGCACGTGGGACCTCACCAGATAGAAAACACAGAAATACAAATGACTACATCTGTGGGAAAAGACCACGGGGAAACACAGTATCATGAGTCAAAACAAGGCTAGGGCATGACTATGGAAAAGACCATCAATTGCTCATATGCAAGTTCAGGCTGAAACTGAAGAAAAATCAAAACAAGTCCTCAAGAGCCAAAACAGGATCTTGAATATATCCCACTGAATTCAGAGACAATCTCAAGAACAGATGTGATGCATCAAACATTACTGACTGAAAACCAGAAGAGTGTGAACTGACATTATGAACGTCATGTGTGGAGAAAGCAAAATGTCATTAAAAAGAAAAGACCAAAATGGATGTCAAAGGAGACTTTAAAACTTGCTCTTGAGCATGGAGATAATAAAGCAACTGGAAGAAGTGTTGAAAGTTAGCCAAAATGCTGTACAACGTAAAGAATGCAATCAATGTCAACAAACAATTTATGTGGAAATTGCTGAGTTGGTGACTCATGTTTTGTTATATATATTTATATTTTCACTACAATTAAAAGAGAAAACAAAAAACTTCATAGCAATTTATATTCTCCCAACAGTGTATATTTCCTCTAACCCTTGCACATGATACTCAGTTTAAAGGAAGAATAAAAGATTCTCTCTGAAGGAATTAGTCCTCCTAACCCCAATATAATTACACTTTCCCATATATCTTGGTGGATGAATGAGTACTCTCCTTTCTCAGAAGACTATGAGGAAGAAAAGAAAGTTTTTTTATCCTTTATAGCTTACAATAAGAACAGCTGAGAGGAAACATGCTTCTTATTCAACACTGAGGATATTTTAATGACATTTTACCTTTATTTTCATCTGTCTTCACAACTTGGACAAAATCTCTTCTGATGAAATAATTGAAAGCAGGAGCCCTCTTTTCTCGGTGTTCATCAAAGATCCAGAGGTTGACCCGAGCCCTTGTGATGGCTGTGTACAACTGCTTCAGCTCTCCATTGAGAAGCTAAAGATAAGATGGGCGACAAAGACAATGAGGCTGTTGTCAGCAGTTACATGTGACACATTCAGTGGGCTTACTCTGAGTTTGGAAAAGCACAAAAACATTTCAGAGGAGAGCCCAGTGAGGCTCTGAGAAACTGCACTTCTTCCCAGCGCCCACCTCAGAAGGCAAGTGAGCAGGACCACCCTTGAATCAACTATAATTCTTGGTTAATTTGATGTTTTGAAATATAGATCATGGAAAGTTACCAAAATGGTATGGAAATTTCCCATAAATTCCAGGTCACCCTTCAGTTCCTCCTCAGAAACCGTATACAGGGTTGTTATGAGTTGGAACCGATTCAATGACACTTAACAAGTATTATCTTATGATTTCTTCTTTGATTAATTGGTTATTTAATAAACTAGTTTCATCTACAAATATTTGTGAGTTTCCCAGTTTTCCTTCTGTTATTGATGTCTCGTTACATTCTATTATCATCAGAGAAAAGCTACTTTGTATGATTTCAATCTTTTTATGATCTACTGAGCTTTGTGTCTCATCTGGAGAATGTCCCTTGGGCACTGAAGAATACATATTATGCTGCTATTGGCTGTTCTACAGATTCTGTTAGGTTTTGCTGGTGTACAATGTTGTTCACTCCTCTATTTTATTTTTGATCTTTGTAGATGTTCTGTCCACTATTGAAATTAAGGTATTCAAATCTCTAGCTATTACTGTAGAGCTGTCTATTCTTCCCTTCAATTCTGTCAGTGTCTGCTTTGTATATTTCGAGGCTCCTCTGACAAGCTGCACCAGCAACATGGCCACCTTCTGCAGAGTTGCTGACAAGCTGGGTGTGGAGATGGTAGACAGGTAAGTTATGATGCCACAATGCTCTCTTATTAACCATCACCAGCTTCTTTCTTTATTAAACAGTCCCCTAGTGGTAAGTTTTTGATTAGGAGCAGAGATCTGAAAAGGCGGATTCTAACACTTTTTCATTTATGCCAGCTAAATCAGTGCTTCAGTGGTAGGACAGAGTTTTGGAGTTCCCTACTCCATTTTCCTGTACTTTTTTTTTTTTCAGGGGTGGCGGGGATATATACATAAACACTCAGGAATATATAATCATTAACCACATTCTGCAAGCCTGCCTCCTGGCTGCCAGCACACAACCTTTCTCTTTCCATTAGTCTAGAGTCCTCAGCGGCTCTCCCTCTCCATGTCCTCATCTCTGCCTCCATCTCTGGTTTTGCTGCTTCTCTGGATAAGGTCCCACATTCTGCTTCTGCTCGTCTTCCTTGATGTTCCTAGGGTCCTCTGTTCCTGGACTTTCAGATTAACTACTCCCCACTTTTTATTAAAAAAAAAAAAACAAAAAACAAAAAAAAACTTCTACCTTTACAGCTGTGACTGTCACAATTAGTCATGATAACAATTATTCACTATTGAATTGTAAGAATCCTATCTAGACAAAATGAAAACTATTCAGTGGGGATTCTACACGCCCCCACACATTCTGATACTAAACTCACTCTTAGAAACTTGTAAGCCAGTCATTTCGTGTCTTTATTGCCCCCTCTTTTTAGGTAGTCAGTGTTTAAGTTGCTGTAAATAAATGACCTCTGTTACAACCATCATTGTTGTTGTTGTTGTTAAGTATGGTCTAGTCAGTTCTGACCTATAGCAACCCTATATAAGATTTCTTAGGAATGGCTGGTGGGTTTCAGCCAGCATTTGTGGTTGTTGTTAGGTGCCATCGAGTCAGTACCGACTCATAGTGACCCTATGCACAACAGAACGAAACAGTGCCTGATCCTGGGCCAACCTCCTAATTGTTAACATGCTGCCATTTTGCCAATCCATCTTGCTGGGGGTCTTCATCTTTTTCTCTGACCCTCCACCTCACCAAACATGATATCCTTCTCCAGCGACTGATCCCTCCTGACAATATGTCCGAAGTATGAGAGACAAAATCTGGCCATCTTGGCCTCATCTTGGCCTTATCCTATTTGTTGGATTTTTATTCTGTATAAATCATAAAACGAATAGTTTTTCCTAAAGATTTTTGGTTTCCTTTGGCTCATTTTTCTGTGAGGTCTCCCACTCTCTGTGTGAGACCCATAACAACCTCCCTTATTCACAAACTCCACAGAACTTCATAGATTTGAGCTCCTTCTCAGTGATGTAGCCGGGATATGAAGGGCAATGGAAGGCAAGTCCCTTACACACCAAGGTGACTGAGCTTATACTACTAATAAACAGTCTGAACTAAGTATAGTTTAGAACTTTGCTTCTGATAATCTTTGACCCAGAAGGGTCACAGATAAATCATTTTTTAAAGTATCTGATTGAATGATGAATAGAGCAGGATTCCAGAGGTGAAGAGAAGCTGTAACACTTCCCTCTCTGCTGTCAAGCAGTGCCCCACCCATCAAGGCAGTTTTCTGCAGAGAAAAAGTAAGTTTTCCACTGCTGACATCCTTCCCTTTCCCTTTTCAACTCTTTGCACAAACCCCTTCACATGCATCAGGCAAGACCCACCAAGTACCAGGTTCCATTTTCAGTTTCATTTTCTGGCCCAAGCCCTGTCAAATAAGCATGTGGAGAAGTGGCTGAAAATCACCTTGTACATTTCTGGATTCAGCATGAGAGACCGACCCTTCAAGGAGCTTTGTTTTTCCAAGGGCACATCAATCAATGGCTGGTTTTCTTCTCTGTAGTCGGGTGATGAAGGCGTAAATGAGGAAATTATCTTCCATTCCTTGTAAGCCTGAGCAATGACAATATATTAAAGATCAACAAAAGATGCTTCTAAACTCTCCATACAACCTTCCTGAGCTCTACCTTTTACTGGCATGGGGGAATCCAAGACTTCAGCCCCAGTGTGAGGAGGCAGTCATTCTGTGGTCTCAGGGGATAGGAAGGTTTAGCATGCACAAGCAAGGATCAGAGAAACCACAGTAAAAACTGCCCAGACAATAGGTTAAAACAGCTGAGAGCCTGGGCACATGGACCCACTTCCAGGAAGAATACCAAGAGGTCAGAAAAATTATTCCATTTCAGTGTTGTTGCTAAGTGCTGTGGAGTCAGTTCTGACTCATAGCAACCCTGCATAGGGTTTCCAACGAGCGTCTGGTGAGTCTGAACCACCAACCTTGTGATTAGCAGTCCAGTGCTTATCCTACAGTGCTGCACTAGGACTCCTGCTTCTTAAAGAATTCCAACAAGAAGTATAGAGAAAAATACTCAGTGTCCTAAAGCCTTTTTACACCACAGTTAAGAGATGCCACTTAGGGTCAGCAGTTGAGACATCCATGGTAGAATTTTCCAAGTAGGTTATTCAATCAAACATGGATGAAAGAAGATTTAGGAGCTGCGGTAAAGTGCTTACAGTAGACTCTTAAGTCAGACAAAACAAATGTTTGTTTTGGTTCTTTTACTTATTTGTTCTGTGGCCTTGGAAAAATTACTTACTTTCTTCTAGACCTCATTTTCCTGCTCTCTAAAATGGTGATAACAGAGCATCCCAAGTTTTTTTGTGAAAATAAGAGGAGATAGTCAAATGTCTAATACAATGCCTAATAGTCAGCATTTTACCTGTTTTCTTTTATCCATGTCCCACAGCCAAGGGTCAAATAATAAATATTTTAAACTCTTCAGGCCATGGGTTTCTCTCATAACCACTCAACTCTGCGGCTGTTGTGCAAAAGCAGCCATAGACAAATAAAAGGGTGTGGCTGGGTTCCAATGACACTTTATGGACACTAAAATTTAATTTCATGCATTTTTATGTACAACAGAATATTATTCTGTGTTTGATTATTTTCAACCATTTAAAAATATAAAAATCATTCTTAGCCCAATGTTTTCATTGTTAATTGCTGTTGAATCGGTTGTGATTCATAGTGACACTGTATAGAGTTTCTGAGGAGCATCTGGTAGACTTGAACTGCCAACCTCATGGTTAACAGTCAAGTGCTTATCCTACAGCACTACACCAAGATTCCTTCAGTCTAATAGCCATACAAAAACAAACCCCAAATGTGATTCATGGACATAGCATGCAGACCTGTTGAAGTGCATAAATGAACGCAGCATTTAGAGTCCAGAATTCCTATGAAATTCTAGATTTTATACTGTACTATATCTTGGAAGAGTAATAAATTAACTCTGCCAGTCTTGATTTTTCTATTACAAAATGGTTTTCCTTGCCACCATTGTGTGTTTTCAAGAATGCTGGAAAGATGAAGTAGGTGGCTTTTTTCAAAAGCAGTAAGTGATCCTCTTCATAAGGTTTTCAGTGACTATTCCAAAGGAGTTTTTCACTCTTTCTTCCTAGTCTGTCTTTGTCTGGAAGCTGATCTGAAACCTGTCCACCATGGGTGACCCCGCTGGTTATTTAAAATACCAGTGGCATAGCTCTCAGAATCACAACAACTCAAGCTACCACAGCATGACAGACAGACACTTTAAATTTCAAGGAGATCTGTGTACATGCATAGTAGAACCCTCCAGGGGTGGGAATGGGGTATTCATTCACTCAGGTAGGAAATGGTTAATGTTCAACCATTTCAAGAGGTACCATATGATCAAAAGCAAATGATACTCAGGGAGGAAGTCCAAGGTGCATTGAAGGAACTGGCAAAGAACAAGGCGCCAGGAGTTGATGGAATGAAAAATTGAAATCTTTCAATAAAGTGAGACGGCACAGGAGGCACTCACTCATCTCTGCCAAGAAATTTGGAAGACAACTATCTGGCCGACTGATTGGAAGAGATCCATATTTGTGCCCGTTCCAAAGAGAGGTGACCCAATGGAATGCGGAAATCATTGGACAATCTCTTTGATATCTCATGTGGGTAAAGTTTTGCTAAAGGTAATACAGAAATGGCTACAATCATATATTGACAGAGAATTTCCAGAGGTTCAAGCTGGATTCGAAGAGGCCGTGGAACGAGAGATATCATTGCTGATATCCAATGGATCTTGGCTAAAAGCAGAGACTATCAGAAAGATGTTTACCTATGCTTTATTGACTACACAAAGGCTTTCGATTGTATGGATCATGACAAGCTAAGGACAACATTGCAAAGTATGAATATTCCAGAACACTTAATTGTACTCATGAGAGCATGGGAACACTGAATGTTTTAAAATTAAGAAAGGTGTGTGACAAGGTTGTATTCTTTCACCATACTTATTCAACCTGTATGCTGAGCAAATAATCTGAGAAGCTGGGTTCTATGAAGGAAAACATGGCGTCAGGATTGGAGGAAGACTCATTAACAACCTGCGATATGAAGATGATACAACCTTGCTTGCTGAAGGTGAAGAGGACTTAAAATATTTACTAATGAAGATCACAAAAATCCTCACCACTGGACCTATAAACAACATTTTAACAACAGAGAAAAGACTGAAGTTGTCAAGGACTTAATTCTTCTTGGATCAACTATCAACACTTATGGAAGCAGCAGACAAGAGATCAGACGACATACTGCATTAGGCAAATCTGCTGCACTGGAACTTTTTAACGTGTTGAAGAGCAAAGATGTTAGCTTGAGGACTAAGGTGTGCCTGACTCAAGCCATGGTATTTTCAATAACCTCATATGGATGCGAAAGCTGGACAGTGAATAAGGAAGATCATAGAAGAATTGATGTCTTTGAATTATGGTGCTGGAGGAGAATACTAAAAGTGCCATGGGCTGCCAAAAGAACCAATAGATCTGTTTTGGAAGAAGTGCAGCCAGAGTGCTCCTTAGCGGCCCTGATGGCCAAACTTCATCTCTCATACTTTGGACACACTGTCAGTAGGGAACAGTCGCTAGAGAAGGATATCATGCTTGGTAAAATGGAGGGTCAGAGAAAAAGAGGAAGACCCCCCCAACGAGATGGACTGGCCAGGTGGCAGCATTGATGGACTCATGTGGCAACAGTAGTGAGGCTGGCCCAGGATCGGACATTGTTTCGTTCTGCTGTGCATGGGGTCGCTATGAGTCGGGGCCAACTCAATGGCACCTAACAAAAGTGATCCTATGACTTAAACTAGATAAATACTAAATGAAATGTTTTCAAACATCTAGTAAGTAGGAATGGATATGCTACTAATCAATTATAAAATTAACCACCATGCTCTGAAAACAAATGTGAATCATGCAAGTATTTAAATAGTTATAAGATCAAAAACAACCTTCAGGGCAGACTTATGCAGAGGACTCCTGATGTGGCACTGTGGGATCAGCACTGAACTTCAAACCACAAGGTGAGCAGCTCAAGCCCACCAGCTGCTCCTCAGAAACTCCATACAAGGTCGCTATCAGTCTAAATCAACTCGATGACACTGAACAACAACAACAACACTTAGTAAAGCTGTTTAGATAATTTGATTGTTTGTCTACCAAGGCAGACATAAATGCTTGACATTTGAGAGGCTCCTCTTGACAGACAGCAGCAGTTGATACAGGCTGACTTTGAAAGTAACAACGTATTCTAAAATTTCTGAATAAGAAGCAAAAGCTGCTCATATGGGATGACTAACCTCTTTCTATAAATGAAATACTTTTTTTTTTCAAGACAGAACCTTTAGGAGTATGTGTATTTTGTAATAAGGATATAGGCCTACAGCATAATTGATAATTTAAAAATAAGAGGCACTTGTAACTCTTCTGTCTTATTCTATTGGGACACATAATGGTGAAAGAAAAGACAAATCTGCTAGTAAACCTACTTTTAAAGGGTCTGTTATATAAGTCAGTTAAACAACCCATCAAAGTTACATTTTTCAAAGTCCCTACTGTTCCATTCCCTGGTTTCCACAGGGGTGTGAAAGAAAGAACTCACCTCCAGGGCACTGTGTAAATTGCAAACACCCTTATAAGTAGTCAAAGGAAGATAGTTTGGGGGTGACTATGAAAAAGACTACTCTTTCCCAAAGATGAGGGAAAATCTTCCAAGAGAAGGACTTGGTATTACCAAGTCCCTTCCCTATCTCACAGCATGGTCCTGATAATCATGTAGCTAATCAGGTAACAATATGTTCGCTAAGGGAAGATTCACAAACCAGGCCATCAAGACCTCCATACACATGCAAGTCTAGGTAACAGGTATTACAAAGATAATAGCTGCCTCAAACATAAACGGGAGTGGAAAAAGAGACCAGGGTAGAGAGAAACTCCCTGTAGTTCTCCTAATGTGTCAAACAACGATTACTACCTAGCAGCTCTCAGTCACCAAAAAAAAAAAAAAAAACTCCACGTGAGTAGCGAGAGATTTACGTCAGCCTTGTCTTGCCTCTTCCTTGGTTAAAACAGTTTCTCTCACTTGCTGACAGACTTCTTTTTGGTCTTGAGGTTGCAATCTATAAACTGAGGGTGTATGTTAGCCAGGGCATGGATAATTACATTCCCTGGAATACCTGAGAGCACCACATCAAAGATCTCTTTAGGAGACTTAATTACACTTAGTATGAAGTGAATATTAACCAAAACATTCAATTTGTGATTGAATTTTATAAGACTCATGGAGTCATTGGTGGGAACATATGGTTAAGATATCTGGGCCTCTGCCATTCCCAGGATCAAGGTGAGAATAACTAGACTTTCTTTTGCATAAACAGAGTTGACCATAGTTACAGATCCATAAATTCAGAGCTCCTTGAGTTTCTTATTGGCACAAGCATACAACTTGCACTTAATGAAGTACAGGAACAACAGAATCTTACCCCTTGATCTTTTAGGAAAGCCTAAGTCCAACCATGACCAATGGATGTATTATGAGAAAAAATACTTAGTTCTCGAGATTAAAATGGTTCCAGGGTTAATGAGGGTGCATCTTACTGTTACAGCAAAAGTTAAAAGACAGGGAATATGCATAAGGTATAGCAATGGAAAGTTCTAGGACCTAATTTGCATGTGTGCCTTTAAAAGGAAGGGTGTAAAGCAGAAAGATTATCTGGGTTCATCTCTCAGCTCTGCCACCTACATAATATGACTATGGGTGATTTATTTAACCTTCATGACTGTCTGCCACTATATCATTAGGGTATAAAAATATACACCTCAGTGAGCTGGTAGAGAATAAAGTGAGATAATACATTCAAAGACTACTTTATCAACTATAACACACCCATAGCAATATTAATTGTAGGTATTATTAATGCAAACATGACATAAAAGAAGGTCTTAAAAAAAGGTAAGGATTTAACTGAAGGGTCAGTTTTGGAAAGGATTTTCAAGGTACTCCTGTCTTGGGTATGTATACCAGCCCTGTCAAGCATGCACCATGTACATCGGGAAGTTTGCCACAGGGATCAGGACACAGCCAGCTAAGTCCTCACCGGAGACGCCACAGCAGTCAGCAATCAGCCTGAGTACCCACCAAAACACGGTGGTGAAGAGAAGCCAGTTGCCAGAAAACAGAGGACAATGGTCCTGAGCTGGTAGCTTTATTCATAACATACTATGCTTGGAGAGATAAAACTTTCACAAAGATTTAAAACAACGGGCTGGCACAGTGGTTACTGTGGGTGGATCCAGGGGCTTTTTGCTGCTATTGTCTGCACAGGCAGCAAGCACTGGTAGTGAAGCCATGCCAGAGGGGCCTCCCAGGCAAGGTGGCTGTTCTCATCCCACACATTACCTGATCAAGTGGACAGGAACCAATTCTTACTTGTCTTCCCAGAGTTGTCTCTCTTTATGAACTGGCTTTGCCCAGTTCTGTCCTCATAGGATGAGCATTGCTAAACTTGCCTTCATTTGTAAGGTTCTCTTTAGAGCTTGCTCCAACTTGAGCACGCCTGGGAGCCAAGGATAACAATAGCTAATGAAAACTGGAAACTGGCACTTGGATACCAGGCATTCAGAAGAACACTGATTCAAGAAGAGAGCAGGGAAGGGAAGTGCATGAGGAGAGCCAGCCCAGACACATTGTGAAACAACTCGGAGCCACTGTCAAAGCCCACAACCAAACACACTAAATGTATGATGCTCCAAAACACTAACAGTTGGCGCCTGTGACAAACTCTTACTCTCAGGTCCAAATTCTTTTCCCCTCAGTCGAAAGGAAGCCCACACATATACATGCATTATGTAAAAACAATTCATTATCACATACCTCAGAATCAGTAAAAAAGTTGTAAAGAAGGACATCATCAAATTCTAAGCCTTTTGCTTCATAAACTGTTAGCACAAGCGCTAACCCCAGCTCTTCTGGAATTTTCTCCTTTGCCATTTCATTGGCAACAAGTATTACCTGAAAAGAAAAAAACAAAAGTTTTAAAGTAGAAACTAGGTAAGAGAGAAAAATCATCAAATTCTACAAAAAGAAACCTCAGAAAGTTCAACTTATTTCTATGGGAGATGGATAACTTTAAAAAGATGTGGTCAGCATGGACTTGGTCAACCAGGCAAGATGGAATAGTTACAGCAATGACCTATTCTGGGACACAGACTATTGAATTATGTTTTATAGAATAATTTAAACTCTTGATCTTTTGTTTATTGCAAACAAAATTTGATGTTTATTCAAAAACATAAAATCCCAAGAAACTCACCTGATGGGCTCCAAATTCAATGGGCTGCGTTTTCCTTTTGTTTCCTCTTAGCAAAATTGCCAAGTCACTAACACTACAAGACTCCAGGACAGTTGGTTTGGGGCCATCAAAGAGGCCTGAATCCCTTGGAAGGCGATCAAAAGATTCTGGGAAATAGAACTGAAGTAAATCCACCACTCCAGATGCTAAATTGAGGATTCCTGGGTAAAACAGAAAACACATGTCAGATACTGTACAACATGATTAGATTTGTTTCTTTTTGTTTCTGAGATGTCGTATTTTTCTTATAAGCAGGACATATAACAGGAAGCCTGATTCTAGTTCCCATATGATTACCACTTTAACCCGGAGCTTCTCTGGGTGCAGTGGATGAAGGCAGAGATGTTCTGCTGTGGTGAGAGGGTTGTGTGGAATCTCATTCCTGATCTATACTCATGACAGAGAAGAGTCAAGGCAGATACAGAATCTAAACAGTTAGCTATTAGAGTGCTAGTGTAAGGGCCCAGTATACATGGTAAAGAAACAGCATGATCCTGCACCCTCTGGTTGCTGCTTAAACAGGGGCGAGGGGGAACCACGTTATCATGACAACAGCAGGTTAATAAATAGTAGCAACCAAGGCCTCCATCACCATTTTCCACTATGTTTACACAGAGCTGAGATGGGACTATACTAAGAAAAACAGTCAGAACTACAAAAAGGATTTTGCAAAGAAGTTTATCCCCAGTTATTACCTCTTGTTTTGAAAGGGCAGTGGCATTGACTGGACACCTATTAACATCAGGTACCTTCATAAAAATCAAGATGAACCTACTTTTACCAACAGTGAGTCCAAGATCTGAGAAGTTAGGGAATACCTCCAACTGACAGGATTTCCAGCTGGACTGAACCCAGAACTCCGCTGCCATGGACACTTTGCTCACAAGATTAATACTATGATCTTACTAGACTTGCAGTACTCTTATGCAATATAAAATTATGAGAATTAGAAACTGCTGAATATAAGCACATCCACTATAATTGAATTCCCCCTCACCATCAGGAGTTAGCAAGGGCCAAAGCTTTACATTATTGGGAGTGAAAAACTGGAATCCAATAAATAAATGTCTTGTAGGGACTCGGAAAAACAATTTTTGATATAACAATATTTAGAGGATAAAAGATGATTCAGTCATAAAAAGGAACAACATTCTGATATATACTATATAATAACATTGATGACCCTTGAAAACATTATGCCAAATGAAAGAAACTGTTCACAAAAGACCTCATATGATTCCATTTATATGACATTCCAGAACAGGTAAATATATAGAGACAGAGAAAAGACAAGCAGTTGCCAGGGACTGAGGAGAGGGGAGAACAGGAGTGATTTCTAACTGGTATGGGATTCTTTTTAGGCTAATCAAAATGTTCTAAAACTAGACTGTGCCAGTTATACAATTTTGAGAATATACTAAAAACTACTGAATTATACACTTTAAAAGGGTGCATTTGTGATATGTGAATTATATTTCAATTTGTAAAAGAGATAAGAGAAAATATTTACTAAACATACAAAGGGACTTCAAAAATACAGAATTAAAACATAATGGACCCAGTGAAATAGGCCTATTGCAGAGCCTTTGAAGTGTATAGGACCTTAGGTGGAATCCTGAGCCCTACCCAGAACCTTCTGAGTGGGGACATTCCCACTAGAAAGGACAAGCAGACTAACCTGTTCACAGCAACAACCTCTTTTATCATGTTCTATCCTGATGGTCTTACTGGCTTCTTTTACCCTTGACTATTGACTCTTAAACAGAGATACAATACAGAAAAAGGAGCTTGCCCAACTAGCAAGTCAAGACCACTTTACTGAATCCAACAACAAAGGTGGTTCTCCCTAGAGCCACTACTGAAGACAAATGTGAACAGCATGTCTCATCCATCCAGGCTCAACACAGTATCAGGTCAGGTTCAATAAATAGTTCCTAAATCAATGAGCTCTGGTACCATAGTGGTTACGAATTGGGCTGCAAACCTTAAGGTCAGCAGTTCGAAACTACCAGCCACTCTGTAGGAGAAAGATGAGGCTTTGTGCTCCCATAAAGATTTACAGCCTTGGAAACCCTGTACAGGGTCGCTATGAGTCGGAACCGACTCCAGGGCACATAACAACAACAACAACAAATCAATGAAGGATGGGCTAGTGTTTGCCACTGAGAATATATATTTCTTCTTGTCAGTTCTTCCTGCACAACACAAGTGCCAGATATAAAAAGACCACAGAAGAGCAGGCAGATCCTGTGAGTCACAGGCAACACCAATTAAGACTTTAAGAGACCTGTGTGGTATACACTACACTCTGGAAGGCCACCTGGCTCCCAATCATTATCTGAACACGTGACTAAACAATTCAGAATTTCATTCAAATTTTACTCTCAGTGAGTATGTGCTATATTATGTGTTCTCGTTCTACCAAGTCATAACCCACCTGGCATGCAATTAGGAAAATAGAATCCAGCAAAAACCTACAATAAGCATCTTACTTAGTGAAATGTTAGACGTATTCCCATCAGCTTCAGGAATAGCACATGGATGTCTGTTAGTGTTTCTATTCAAAGTGAAATGTGATCATATGAAGAAATATGTATTACAGATTGGGAAAGAAGAGAGAAAACCACCTTTACTTGCAAAGGAAATCCAAAACCAAAAAATTAGAATAGTAAGAGTGTTCAGCAAGATTGTTGGATACCAAATCAAGAGATAAGAGCCAACAGTATTCCTCTATACTACTAATAAATGATTTGAAAATATAAAGAAAGAAAAGAAGAAAGGGTAAGCCTACATAACAACAAACAGTATAAGGGACCTAGGAATAAACCTAATAGCTATGCAAAATGTCTGGGGGGATTTATAAAACATTAGTGCAGGATCTTGGAAAAGACCTGGAAAGGTCGTGGTTCAGAAAAGTCAGTATCATATTTTTATGCAAATAACACATGCTATACGGGGTGCCTGGCCAACTTTGCCACCACTCCCTGCTATTTTTGTAGGCATGCTAGGAAAATATGCATTATTTATGTGGGTGTGTTACTTGTGAAAAAATATAGCAATTAATATTAATCATTCAATAATGTGAATTTTTCCCAAACAGGTATAAATTCAATTAAATTCCAATCAAAATTACAAAAATTAATTTCTAACTAGAGTTAGAAATTTGCTAATAAATAGGAGAGGGTGATAATAGCACAAGAAAAGTAAACCAAATCAAGTAAATAGCAAGCCCAGAAAGACACTTGAAGATATGTTAACAACAACAGAAAAAAGATGAAGCCACACTACAAATTTGTGAAGTAAATAGTACTGACACACTGATTCCCATATGGAAAAACAGAAAGTTACTTTGATAAGCAGAATTTTATACTACAACCACATTTTAAATAGATTAAAAATCTGCCTAAATTTACACACCTACCTCCCACCATCTCCTACCCTTATTTTTTGCTTCTCCTTGAGAGATAAACAGCTTTAAGGATCAGTGACTTTTAATGATAATTTTATAATTACTTTGCAAGATCAACAGGTGCCTCCAAAGTACTTTAACAAAAGATCTCATTTTGAATGTTTCTCTAAATTGTTTTCATGCCATGACAAACTCTTTCAAAGGCAGCTAAAAGTACATTTCTAGCCCACATCACATGGATTTGTCAACTTAAAAAGTGAGGAGTGGCAGAAACCATAAGGTCTCTCATTCATAAGTGGTGGTGGTGGTTGTGCCACCTAGCCAGTTCCAAATCATAGCGACCCTGTATAGGGTTTCCAAGGCTATAAAATTTTATGGGAGCAGAAAACCTCTTCTGTCTCCTGTGGAGCGACTGGTAGATTTGAACTGCTGACCTTGCTGTTAGCAACCAAACTTGGAATCCACTACACTACCAGGGCTCCTTTATTCATAAATACTCTGATACAAAATCCCAGTACTACCCTTACTGAAGCTGCAAAGGCCTAATCAAAGCAAATCCATAGCTTCAAAAACCACCCAAGGTCAGTGCCTAAGGATCATGCCCCATAGGGACACCCAAGGCCTGCACCTACCCGAGTGGGACCTGTAATTCTGGTACAGCTGGTGAATCTTCTTGGGTTTCCGGACAGCACACAGCTTGTCTGTGTTGTTCCTGCTGGCGTAATGAAACAGGGAGAGCAAATCGCTGAAGCGGAAGGCCACACCTTGCATGATGCCCTGGGCTGTGTCTCCAGTGAGGAACATGGCATTGGGGTCATTAATGCATTGCATCAGCAGCGCCAGCTCAGCTTGGGTAAAGTCCTGAATCTCATCCCCATAGAGCTCGTGGATGGACCATGGAAGCACCTTGAGATTTGACAGCCTGGAGGACAGGTTGTACAGGACATCCTCTTCATCAAAATAACCTTTCTGTGACCTGATCTGCTGATACTGGCAGAAGAGACTGTAAATCTCACTCCGATCTTCCTTAAAATTGGGGGACCGTTTTCTCCCTAATTTCTTGTATGCTTCTTCAGTAAGTCTTCCACTGGGGCAGCTGAGGGCCTCAAAAGACCCTTTCAGAAAAGATTTTATTTCTTTCCAAATCAGTGCGGGGTTGTAGGAAGTTTTCCCTTTGCTCATCTTGGGCCATATTTCATTGATGAACACTTCAAATGTCACATACACCCGGGGATCACTGTCACCCACACGTACTTCTGTGGCTTTATCCTCCTCGTCGTCTCCATCCATCTCCATGTCATCCTCATCCTCCTGCCAACTGGGGATGGTAAATTCTTCCTGTATGGACCAACCTACAATGGTTCTTTTCAAGCTGCCATCTTCGTTTCTCAGAAAAAATGGATTGGGCAAAGAAGCATCAAGAAGAAGGAGCAGCTGCTTGGAAGTCACAAACAGAGGAAAGTTCTCATCCTTCAGATCTTGGAGTCTGTGAACACTAGGCTCCAGGGGCTTATAGTGACTTGTGGCCTTGGTAGACTTGGAAAGCTCAATGAAATTTCTCTGTACCTCCTGGCACAGGACATGGTTCTTGGTAACAAAGATCTGATGGAGATGCTCCAGTTGGTGGGGATAACCTGGCTCATAGACGTCTGTTTGGTTGTCTCCCAATGGCTTCATGTTGGGTCCTCCTGCACCAGCATCGCTCTCCTGCTCTTGACTCATGCAGTCCACTGTTTCCACTTCAGTTGAACCTTCCCCTTCCTCTTCCTCCCTCTCCACTTCCTCCCAACTTGGACCCTCTTTTCCAGGTTCCACTTCCAATCTTGTCTTCAACCAGATCTGCTGTGTCAGCAGTGGGCTCCTTGCCTGCTCGGCTTTTTCCCAGTAAATGTGGAATTTCTTCCACAGCCTGTACAAGCAGCAAGTTGTCTTCCCGGTGCCACTCCGTCCAATGAGGATGATGGGCTCCAGTGGCTTGGGGTTGAGGTCGATCACCGCATACTCGAGCTCGCCTACCCGAAAGGGGTACTCTGCTGTCGCTGTCATGTCACTAAGGATGTTGAAGGCCATGTTGGTACTGAAGCTGTGGAACTTCATGATGTTGTACTCTGTCTCCACAGCACTGGCTGGGGGGAAGTACTCAGGATCCACACACTCTCTGCCCTTCTCATCTTCTGTGTCCTCTGTATAGCAGCGGGGTATCCGCTTCTGCACTTTCATGTTGGTAAACACCGGTCCTTTGTTGATACCTTTCAGCTTCTTCCGAAGCACACAGGACAGGCCCCGGTTGTAGGCAATGCAGATGGCTCTGATAGAGTCTGACAACTTGCAATGATCTAAGACAATGTCCCAGATCCGGATGATTTCTGTATAGACCCGCCCTGACTTCTCCACAGTGGGCACATTTTGTTCTGTGGCCATGGTCTTCTCTGGGTTCTCACTGCATCGAGGTGAGAAATCAATGGCAAGCTCCCACAGCATCCGGGCCCCTTTGTCCAGCTTGGCTTCGAAAAGTTGGATGTTTCCATTCAGGTGCCTCAGTCGCTTTTGCAGGCAATGGGTCCACTCACCATTCCCCAGCTGCTGGATAGCAAAGATGATTTTCTTCTTTATGATCTTGGTCATTGCCTTACTTGAGAGTTTCTTTAGCATTTCTGAGGTGCACTCAATCTCCCAGGTCATATTATCAAAGTCCTGGAGGCAAGCCTCTATATCCTGCATGTTCCAGTTCTCCTGGCCCTCCCTCCTTCTGTTACCAACAGGAACAGGCTGCATGTCCCAAACGGCTGCCTGAGCATGTTCATCCTCTGCCTCAGGGAGGGCATTATTGCTTGCGTGACAGCCTGGGGTTTGCTGAAACTCATCTTTCTTTACTTCCTTGCCTGCTCCTGCACACTGAGCACCTTCCTCTGGGAGGAATGCATCCAATGTAACTTCCTGAATCAAAATCGTAATGTCCTTCACAAGATGGTCTCTCATACAGTGTGACGCAAACATTTCAGGCTCCTGCTTTGTTACCTGGGCAACAGGGACAGACTCCCGGACTTCAGAGACCACAGCTCCTTTTGGCAGGGTCCTGGAAATGGTGCCATATGACAATGACTTGCATGAACCAAGAGACTTGAGCTGAGAAATATGGCCATGGGGAGCGAATCTCAAGAGCTTCCCCTGGTGGGCAGCAGAGTCCTGTCGGTTCCTCCGCCTGATCTCCATCAAGGCTTTGTTCCAGGTCAAGAGCAGAGGATCATTCTTCTTGATCCGGTGCCGTGCATCTTTCCCCTCTTTGTTTCTCAAGTTCAAGTTGATGTCAAACTTCACCAGCAGGTCTATCAACTTCTTCATGCGCTTCAGCATGCCCTTCTGAAACAGAATGTGCATCAGTGTGTTCCCACTGCCATCCTGGATGTTGGGGTTGAGGTAGTAAAATTCAGCGGGGTTGGACCAGAATAGGTCCAACAGATGCCGGAGGAAGTTAAAGCCAATGTCAGCTGAAAGACACAAACAAGATCCTGTGAGTGCTGAGCTATTCTTCTCAGAGGACAGAATACCCCGAGACTTGAAAAGATGCCAGGCTATTTAACATGCAAAAAGGGCATTAATAATTAGAAAATATGTCTCAGCTACCGACATCCAACGTTGGGACGCATGAATCTTTAACCAACCCACTCTGACCAGTCACCACAATGGTTACTACCTCCTATTAAATTGTGTGTGGGAGGGCAGGATGGGCTGACCTGGTCAAGAAATGAGCCTTTTTCAGATTATCTGTTTTCCCTTTCCCAAAAGGAAAGACCGAAAACACAGCATCAGTTCTAATATCTAGCTTCCTCTTTCATCTCTTCAAGGAAGAGATTGTTTAACAATTAAGACTTACCATTGATATCTAAAAAGATGTGAAGTGCTGCATGCAAAGGAGTATCACCTTCCGTGAAAGAAATGTTGTGGGGGTCCGCACCCTTGGTCAAAAGAAGAAAAGCCAACTCGAAGTCTTCATGTTTCAGGCACAGGACAAGTGGGCTTTCCTGGCTCTCCTGGAGACCCTCAGGCAAAGCTGGGGAGGGAGGCAGAAGAAGAGAGCCCTGTAAGTCACACCCCTGTGAAGAGGTATGGCCTGGGATTCAGGAGAGACTGCTTCAGCCATTTCGTTTCCAGGGAAGAGCTGATGCTGACCCTGACTTCCAAGAACCTCTGACCACCAACCTTCCTGGGAGGGAAAGATTTCCAGGTACCCATAGGGTGAAAGCCCTGTTCCTGGACCCTGCCTCTCCCACCTCTCCAGCTGTTCCTCCACAGTTCCATGATTAGTAGTATTCCCCTAGAATAAGGACAGGGTATGAGAACAACGAAATTCCAATCTTGTCTACCATGATACTTAACACATGGTTAGTCACAGGATATAAGTGATGCTTCTTACAGTCTTCATTTCTACTAACTTCACCCTAAAATGTTTGTCTACCCTCAATTGCTAAGGAGCTCTGGTAGCGTAGTGGTTACGAATTGGGCTGTGAACCACAAGTTCAGCAGTTCGAAAGTACCAGCTGTCCCGCAGGAGAAAGATGAGGCGTTCTGCTCCTGTAAAGATTTGCAGCCTCGGAAACTCTGCACAGGGTCGCTATAAGTCAGAACCAACTCCATGGCACACAGCCACCAGCCACCACCCTCAATTTCTATCCTTCTTGGCACCTCTCCACCCCTCATCACCTGTTTAGCTCGGTTCACGTATCAACGCTATGCTGCAGGCTCCTCAAGCAGGTTCGCCCACTAACAACAGACCAGTAGCTCCCTATGCATGCTTCCAGCAGCCATGTAATCATCTTTGAGCCTTAGTTCCCAGCACTATCCCTGGTAGGAGATCTATACATGAGTTCTGAGTCCAAGAATAAAACAGGAATTCCATAAGATCACCAGTTTCTGAGCAAAAGAAGAAATAATACTCTACATAAAGAATAAGTTTAAAGAAATATATCATAGAAGGGCTTCTCTCTACCTTCTGAAAGCCTTGCATGGAGCCAATGCATTATGGCACTTTGAGAGATAAGGACCCCCATGTTGTCAGTCCTTATGAAGAGTGTTTCCCCTTAAATGACAAAATGAGCAGAAAACCACATAGCCAGGGCTTGCATACACTAATTCATTCAATACTTACAGCAGTATAAGAAATAGAAACTATTATCATTCCCATTCTAGAAATGATGAGACATAGCAGGCCCAAGGCCATACAGTTAGTAGTGGCATTAGTGGAGGTGGGAGCAGCAGGAAGTTGATGTATCTAAATTACTTTTAGAATAAAACCCAGTACAGCAATACAGTCTGCACATTCCAGACACAAACCCACCATGTGTGACCATCCTGATTAAAGCAGCAGATGCTGGCACCCACCAATTAATTAGTTGTTGCTTTAGAAGCAAGTATTTCAAATCTCAATCCACTGATAAGTAGGGCCCCAAAAGTGACAAGGACACACAGCACATCAAGTACAGGGGAAAACCTAGGCAGAGCTCAGGAGGAAATAACCAGCGTGGACTAAACCAGAGCAGCGGGCCCTCCACATACCTGATGTTTCTCACACAACAAGGAAGAGAAGACAAAATTGCAGAGTTCCTATAGGGCAAGATCCACTACAAGGCAAGCAAAGCTGTTGCCATCTAAACGATTCTGACTCACAGAGTACTGCTGCACAGGGTTTTCTTGACTACAGTCTTTACAGAAGCAGATCACCAGGTCTGTTTTCCAAGGCACTGCTGGGTGGCTATGAACTGTCCACTTTTAGGTCAGTGGTCTTTTGTACCACCCAGGGGCCCCCAATACTCACTAACAAGGCATTAATCCACTGTCACTAGAAGGGGACAGAACAAGAAGATATGAGGAAGAGAATGGCAAACGGAATTTACAAAAGCAAGGGAAGGACCCTGTGATGGGCACTGGCTTGCATCACTCCCATCTGGACAACTTCTCAATGAAACCATCTAGGCATTTTCACCTCCACTGTCTATGAGGCAGCCCAGGAGCTGCGTCTTCCGCTGGTCCCAGCTGCTGAGGTGTGGAATGATGGCACAAATGTCAAGGTCTGAGAGATTGCAGTCTTTGATGAGACAGTCTCTGAATGGTGGCTTTCCGCTCACTTTACGGGTCAACAGCAGAAGGACTTCAGGCCACTTCTGTTTTTCCAGCAGGAACTTGATGAAGGTGTTCGCACAGTCGCGATTAATGTCACAAACCAGGTCAGGAGGAATTTCTTTCAAAAATAAGAAGAGACCACACACCAAAAAAGGTTCATATGATTTCTATACAATGCCCAACACACATGTACATAATTGGCTCAGATTTCTGACAGACCAGTATTTTTAAGCATTAGGGAAACTACAAAAGAGTCATTACTCTGAGTGAGTCATTTAATTGTTCTTGAACATCATTGTAAACATCTGGAAGGTTTAAAAGTACTGTATGGAGAATACAGAACCTGGCCCAGGACGCACACAACATCATGAGTGTGTTTTAAGGAGGAATACTTTAGTTCAGAGTATCCAGAATATTCAGACTAGAATCAGAAGGGAAAAGTCTGATTTAAACTTTGCATAACATCAAGAGTGTGGCCTGCTTAGGAACAGTGAAATATTGGAAGACATTAGAGAGTAATTTAAAAGTCAAGAGCTACAGGGTAATGATAAGAAAAGGTTTATTTCTTGATTCTTAATTTTATATCATGATATATACGTGTTTCCATATGATCTCTAATATATGAAATCACAGTTCAACTGTTGTTATGATTATGGGTAGAGTGTTTTAAGTAGATCTTCAATAAACTGATTGTCAAATATAGCAAATAAAAATCTAGGATGCCAGTCAAATTTTAATTTCAGATCACCAACATATACATAAATATGTATTATTTGCAATTTACCTGGCAAGCCTGCAAGTAAAAAAGTAGGGAGGAAAAGAAGAAAGCAAGGGTGACTTAAATAAAATGCAATTATTTATATCTGCTCATTTTTGCTTCCCATATCCTTCCATGAATATACATTCCTTTTAAAATAAAAAATATTTATAAATACAAGGTGTTGCTCCATCACATTTTAATGTGAATTGACAAAATAAAAATGAAAAATACAAGGGGGCTTTTATGGAAACATTTCATTATGTTTCCATTCCATTTTAGACATACATTTTGAAGCCCTGCCTATAAACTTATGTAATGTTGTTCTTCTTAAGTGCAGTTGAGCCAGTTCTGACTCATAGCAACCCTATAAAGGGTTTCCAAGACTTGTAAATCTTTGCGAGAGCAGAAAGCCTCATCTTTCTACCATGGACCAACTGGTGGGCTCAAACTGCCAACCTCGTGGTTTGCAGTCTACTGCTTATCATACAGAGCCACCACATTCTCAACTTTTGTAACAGACATCTGCAATTTCTGTCCCTTACTTGTCTCCTAGTTACAGCACTCTCAGCCTCTAGCAGTCTCCCTTCCATATGGCAGGGATGGGCATAACATTTGTGATTTGGGCCCAAGCCAATCAGGACTCTTCCCCTGACCGTAGTATTGGTCATGGTACATGTTGTGGCCAAAAGTGGGGCCTAGGACTTTTGTTCAAATCACTAAGAGAGATGGGACCATACAACCAGAAACACTGGACCAAGTTAGAGGTTAGAGACCTGTAACCAGCTGGTAGCCATTCTGTCTCACAGGGATTCTGAGATAGAAGCTAACCAGATAACAACTGAGTTGAAGGAAGGGACGCATTAGGTCCTATTGATATTGGCTAGATCCTGGACCTGGCTATGTCAAAAAAGTCACTTTTTTTGCCAGTTAAATCCAACTTTAGTCTGGGCTTTTCTTTTTGTCAATTCCAAACGAAAAAAAATCCTGCCGCTCCTCCTTGATGGTCAGAGGAGAGAAAAGGGGAAAGTAAAGAGAAGGGGAAATGTCAAAGGGGTTGGGTAGCTTCGAGGTCCCAGAAGAAAGGTGGGAAAAGACCTTCAAAGGAGAGATATAAATGGCAAGAAACAAAGAGAGAAGGGTTTGGAAAGTAACCTACCCAGAGTGAGACAAACAAACACAATACAGAAGCACACACCATAGCACACAAAAAGACTGGAAGACTTTCAAAAAGCAACATTCCTATCTGTGGCCTCTTATGAGATTGATACTCATCACCAACAGCTCACTTCTTATTTGTATAACTCTAAGTAGAAATGAGGATAAATTTTGTAAGTTAGATGACATGAGGTGCAAAAGTTAAATAGTCTCTAGATGTGGTTTGCACAGGGTGACCTTCATTTAAAGATTCCACATGTGACGTCACCATCCTAGAGTCTTGAGTGTTCTTTTTGTCTTCAAGTCATTCATACCCAAAAAAGAAACACTGTTATGGCAAGAAGCATCTCATCTCAATTCACATTAGTATTCTCTTTGCAGGCCACTGGACTACATGTCCCACATCAAGTGGCTCAGGATATTAGTTCCCCCAACTAGACAGAGATGAAGAAACTAAAGCTTAAGGAGGTTAAGCAATTGGACTAAGGTCACAGATTTGGTATGTGGTAGAGCTAACACTTAAAAATACAACTCCAAGCCTTAACCAGTACAACCTGCTGCATGGTCTTAAACACAAGTGTGAGTTCTCTAGCCAAACCTTCCTGCCTTCTCTGTAAAATTGAGACATATCCCTATAAGTAGTCGGAGTTGAGTGCTTTCATAGTCCAAACTGTCAATTTTACAAGTGCTAAATTTTATGTACAACTTCCAGAATCTCCTCTGATTATCTACAGTTTATGCTGCTTTTCTGAAAGTTCTCTGATATTCCCATAATGAAAAAAAAAGTTTAATGATGGAATGTGCAATGAGTCATTCTATGAGAAACTAGTAACAGAAGTTGTCTCTAGGGATGGAATCTAGGGACTGAAGTTCAGAGGTGGATGATTCAACTTTTTACTGAAGAACTTGCCATACTCCTTGAATGTTTTCCATGTAGATGGATTATCCTTGTTATGTTTAAAGTTTAACTTGTGAAAGCATGTAAGAAGAGTTCTAATGAGCACAAATCATCTCTAGCACATTTGGACATTGTGACAAAAATTACCTTGCAGAGAAGACAGAAGGCGCAAGAACCGCTGAACTATGTCTTGCTTCAAAAAGTTTTTCTGCATCAACCGATCTCCTGAGTTCATGTATTTCACAAGCTGCTCAGAGACTCTCCGGAAAATCTCACTCTCACTGATGGGTCCCTCACCATTGTTCAGTCCTGCAAAGCAACACCAGATAGTAGTTCTGAATCCAGATTGCAGCTGTAGCAGACTACAAACATGACTACCTCTCCACTCCTGCTTCATATCCACATGCTTTATACTCCACGTGATTTGGCAGATCCTCCCACTGGGATGTGTTATCCATTTATTCTTCCCTTGATTCTGGCCTGGCTTTGTGACTTTCTGTGATGAATAAAATGGAACAGATAAAATGTGCCAGTTCTGAGACTGGACTTCAAGAGACTGTGTATATTTCCATTAGTTCTCTTGGGTCCATGGCCACTGCCATGTGAACAACTCTAAGTTAGTTGCTAGCAGATAAGAGACAACACAGAACAGAAAGAATTATGCCCAGATGGCTGAACTGAGGCCTCAGACATGCCAAAGACTCTAGCCAAGATTAACAAATAATACAAATGCTTGATGAAATTCAGAGAAGTATGTGAGGAAGTTAGAACCCTCCTTCATTGCTGCTGGTGGTAGTGGTGGTTGTTGTGAGCCGTCAAGTCAGTTCTAACTCATAGTGACCCTGTATAGGTTATACAAGTCTGTAAATCTTTAAGAGAGAAGAAAGCTTTATCTTTATCCACAGTGTAGCTGATCTTGTGGTTAGAACCCCAGCGCATAACCTACTGCGCCACCAGTGTTCATTGTTGGCAGAATGGTAAAATGGTATAGCCTCTGTGGAAAACAGTTTGGTAGTTCCTTGAAAAAATTAAACAGAATTACCATATGACCCAGCAATTCTATTCCTAGGCATACACCTAAAAATACTGACCACAAGAGACTCACACAAATACATACATTTTCATAGTAGCAATATTCACAAAGCACAAATGTGGGAGCAGCCCAAATATCCTTCAACAGAAAAACAGATAAACGAAATGCCAACTATCTGGACAGTAGACCATTGTTTGGCCATATAAAGAAATGCAATACTGATACATACTGGAACCTGGATGAACCTCCAAAACATTAATGATGAGAGATACTAGTCAGACACAAAAGTTATATACTGTATAATTCCATTTATATCAACTATCCAGAAAAGGCAAACTCATAGAGATAGAAGATGGATTGCTGACTGCCAGGAGCTGAGGGGAATGGCGAGAAACTGTTCAGTGGGTTCAGAGATCTCTTTGGAGTGATGGGAATGAGCTGGACCTAGGCAGAAGTGATGGTTACACAAGTCAGGAGGCAGTACTAAGTGCCACTGGATTGTTTACTTGTAGACAGCTAACAAGTGAATCTCACCTCCATAAGTTACTTTTTAATTATTTAAAACTTGAATCATAATGAAGAGATAAAAGATCAAAACAGGACATGTGTCTTCACACCTAAAGGGCCTGGCAAATGATAGAAATGCCATCAATGTTTCTGAAGAGGAATGTTGAATGGCATGTTCTACCAGAGTGGGAACGTTTTAAAATAAGTGAACTATTCCAGGGGGGAGGGAGCCTCCTTTCTTGTCAGGTTTTCCAGACAATGTGTTAAGGATTTGTGTACAGCTAGTTTATTAAGGATGAGTACTGATGTGGTGCTGTAGGATAAACACTGGACTGTTAACTGCAAGGCTGGTGGTTCAAACTCACCAACTGTTCCTTGGAAACCTATACAGGGTTGCTATGAGTTGGAATAGACTCCAGTGCACTAAACAACACTAACAAGACTTAATTCAGAGAACCCTGATGACACTGTAGATTAGGCATTGGGCTGCTAACTACAAAGTTGACAGTTCAAACCTCCTTGCCACTCTACAGGAGACAGATGAGGCCATTTGCTCCCGTAAAATCTCAGAGACCCTTTGAAGTAGTTCCATTCTGTCTTATGATTGGCTATAAGCCAGAACCAACTCAGTGGCAGTGGCAAAAGATGACTTCAGTGAGGAGGGGTGACCAGTATGGGAGCAAAGGGAGCCAGATAGGGAGGGGAGAAAGCAAGCAGGGGTACAATCTCAAGCAAAGCTCCACAGAAAGTGGCCTAAGTCTGATCCCTCAGGGGAGCTCTGGAGTGTAGGCCACACCTCAGAGTTGTCTTCACCCAAGGAAAGGGTACTTGGGCGTTTATATTCTCACATCTATTAGTCATTGGAGTCCTGGTGTGGTGTGGGTTAATTCGCTGAACTGCAAAGTCAGTTTGAATTGCAAGGTGTGCAGTTCAAGTTTACCAGGTGCTCCTCAGAAACCCTATACAGGGTTGCTATGGGTCAGAACCAATTTGATGGCTCTTAAAAACAACAACAAATCAGTCATTGGCTAGAGGCTGTCAAGGCAGGATCTAAATTTCCAGGCACTTCTGTGAAGTGGCATGAACAAAGCAGGCTTCATAAGCCCAAAGATGCTCCTCAAGAACAAGCCTCAGGTGCTGACTTTTCAAAATGAGAGCACACCAAGGTAAGGACATGCACAAAAATGGTCAATGGCTCCAAGGACATCCAGGCAGCCACGAACATGAGCTACTACACCTTCTGGTACACACCTGTATCACATTTCAACAAATCAAATACAAACACCAGAAACCTACACACACCACCAAAACCCAAGCTCTTGGGCAAATGCTCATTGCCCTCTAGTCAAGACACCTGCAGGTGCCAAGCAGAAGTATACACAGGGAAGACAAAGTGGAAACCCCATGGTAAAGGAAGACCTACATCACCTGAACTAGAAACTCATTCAAAGATGGAAACCATGAGTGTAGTGTAATAACATCTGGCCAGCACTCCTACACTTGACCCTGTCACCACCTTCATCCAAAAATACCGATGAGGATGCAGAAATAGTGAAAATCAGTACAGAAATTTAGGATTCTTGCTAAATGAGGAATTTCCTTCACAATGAAAACTAACCTCTGCCCATTGTCATTAAAGTATTTTTGTAAACATCATTTTTCCCAAGGGGAATTAGTTTAGTATAAAAGTCACTTGAAACTGAACAAGAAACACACTAAATTTGATAACAGAGGCAATTAGATGTAGATGTTTAACAAATGTATGATTAAGTACTTCAGATGAGTTAAAAAGACATAAATGATTAGAGAAAATGACATCAGGAAAGAAATTAGAGAATCATATTAAACCCAAAACCCACAGCTATCAAGTCAATTCTGATTAATAACAATCCTATGTAGAGTTTCTGAGACTGTAAATCTTTATGGGAGCAGACCACCTCTTCTTTCTCCTGTGAGCAGCAGGTGGATTTGAACTACCAACCTTGCAGTTAGCAGCCCAACCCCTAGCCCACACCGGCATCAGGGCTCCTGGTTGTGTGCCATTGAGTCAGTTCCAACTCATAGCAACCCAATATAGGGTTTCCAAGAAGCAGCTGGTGTTTTTGAACCGCCAACCTTGTGTTAGCTGTCCAGTACTTATCCTACAGAACCACAGCAGGACGCCTTAGAGAATGATATTAGCTGTTCAAAAATGCACAGAATGAAATGTGCTAAAATATTGGCAATGATATCCTTGAGTAGGAAGACTATGAGGTGTTTGTTTATTACTTTAAACTTTTTGGATTTTTTTCCCTTAATTTTTTATAAGCTTAATAAAGAGATATACATCAGAATGTAAGGTTGCTTATGTATCATAATCACAGCTAGACTTTTAAAGACAAAAAAAATGACTACGTAAGTACTGGAGTCCTGATTGGTGCAATAGGTTAAGCAGTGGGCAGCTAACCACAAGAATGGCGGTTTAAACCCAGCAACTGCTCCTCGGAAACCCTATAAAGGGTCATTCTGAGTCAAAAACAACCTGATGGCACTAACATTATATTGTTGTTGTTGTTAAGGGCCACCGAGTTAATTCTGACCCATAGCAATCCTGTACCGGGTTTCTGAGGAGTGGCTGGTAAACATTATGTAAGTACTGGTGAATTTAAAAAGACTGGATAAATAAAATAAGCTGATGTATAAATAAAAGAACTTTTTTTGTTATTAAGGAACCCTGCTGGTGTGTAGGATAAATACTGAACTAACTGCTAACTGCAAAGTCAGCAGTTCAAACCCACCAGCTGCTCCAAGGTTCTGCTCCCATAAAACTTTACAACCTTGAAAATCCCACACGGGGTCACTATAAGTCAGAATCGACTTGATGCTAGTAGGTTTTTTGTTATTACATATGACTATATTTTTACAAATTTTGTACAATGGGAGGGCTTCAAAAAGTTTGTGGAAATTTTTCATTATCGTTTCATTTCCTTTTCCATGAATTTTTTTGAATTCTCCTCATATAAATTAATTTTTTTTTAATTAAAGAGCTCCCTTGAAGTTGCAATAGTGCTCAGAAGTAATAGAAAATATAAATCATTTCAAAAAAAGAAATTTATTTCTTGCCTGAAATCTTACTATCATGTTAAAAAGGGTAAAACATGTACATTTTATAGACACAATAGTAACAATTTACTTATATGCCCTTCCCACTTTCATTTTTAAAAGTAAAATGTATAGTATAATTATAAATGCACAGAGAAAAACAAAAATGATGAAATCACAAATATATTAATTAGGGTGGGGGTGTAGCCTCATGGAAAATTAATATTTTCTTGATTTTCCTTTCCTATATTTTCTAAATTTTCTAAAAGGAAAATTATGTTCCTTTTATAGAAAGGGAAAAAGTATTGTGGACACCCTTGAAGTCAATATCCATGCCTGCATTTACACCCTGTGTTAATGCTTGGGGATTCGAAGATCTAAAATCACAACCTGTGAGTCACAGACCCCATCTATGGGGAAGACATCCAGCAGAAAGCAAAAGCAAAAAGCTGCCAGTTCCCCTCTGGAGGGCCAGAGGGAAAAAGTGTCAGAGACTTGGATTTGAGCTCACTCTAAAAATCCCTGTATTCATGAAGCAGCAAGAGCTAATCAAAATTGTGATAAAAATACAGGCTCAAATCTTGTTCTCCAAGATTTCCTATGTAAAGAATTGAACAGCTAGCTGCTAAAGAAGATGGGTATGCTGCCATCTGGTGGTAGCTCGGAGATGTTGTTAAAGATAGCTGAC